AATACATAAAATAAATAAATATAAATATCTTCCAGTCACTTTCAAAATTTACTAGGGGGAGGGGTGGAGTGGGAGGCAGGGGTCAGCAGATGTAAGCTATTATATACAGAATGGATAAACAGCAAGGTCCTACTGTATAGCATAGGGAATTATATTCAATATCCTGTGATAAACCATAATGGGAAAGAGTATAAAAAAGAATGTGTATATGTATAACTGAATCACTTTGCTGTACAGCAGAAATTAATACAACACTGTAAATCAACCATACTTCAATAAAAAAATTTACCAGGAAACAAAACTATCTATCTATCTATCCATTCCCACAAAGTGTAAATATTTGGTGCTGATGAGTGCAGTAGAGAAAACTGCTACAAACTGCGCTGTACCCAAAGCCAGCGGTACTGAATAATGCATGAAATGCAAATCCCTAGGCCAGAGCCAGAAGAAGGTTTTTTTGCAGCCTGCTTAAATATGTTTTAAATATAGTACAGAAAAGTCTTTTGTTTTTTCTTGATTAGCCTTAGAAAAAGGAAAAGTCAATTTGTTTTCAGAAATCATATTACAGGGAATAGGAAAATGTTCTTTTAGCATTAAGTTTCTTAATCTCTCTCTACCCCCTTTCATTTAAAACAGTTCCTCATTTTTCCTCCTGATAATATACTCAGATTTTCTGAGCCTAGAGATATTGCCTTTCCAGGTTTCTTAAAACCAACCAACCGACCAACCAACCAACGTATAGCAAGTATTCTGTGAACCCACACATGCATGGACGTGCCAGATGTTCTTTTAGATCTGTCCTACATCATTAATGTACTAAGTCAAACATACCTATATGGTTACTGAAGGAAACTCTTTTTATAAATGAACCTTCTTCATTTTTGCCTATTTCAGCTCTGTTTTTCCTTATGATCCATACCGAGCCAGCTAAAACCTGTCCCATTCTCCCTTCTTTCTTTCTCCAAAGAGAAACAAACGGTTTTAGGTTCAAATAAATTGCATTGCATGAATGGCCTGCCAGTGAGGTTGGGCGGTGGGACTTGTCTGCCCTGGGTGCAAGTAATAGTGTCCGTAGAGAATTTAAGGCAATAAAAATGACAACTCAAAGCTGTTCTGCTTTGTATCATCACCATGTGCTGGTGATTCTAAACAATGTCAGTGATAAAATACTCCTCCCTGAAGGACTGGACCACTTTCACCACCTTCCCCTAACTTGTTACACCTCTGTATTGCACTGTTAATAAACAAAAGACTTGCAATTTTCCTTTGGCTTGGTATGGTAGTCTTTGGCTGTATGACTCTCAAATGTGGGGAGCGACCACTAAAGAAAAAGGTGGGAGATTTGATAAAAGTGAATGAAACCCTCAAGTTCCCGTCCTAGGCTAACAGTATCATTTCTAGTGACAGACTGAGATCCTATTCCTTTTTCATATTTTCTTCAAGTTTTCAAAGTTACTGGAATTCTGTAAACACTAAAATTGATCAGTGAGAGATCAGGAAAGAGAAAAAGAAATGTTAAACAATTTTACTAAGCCTTGAGGGAAATGGCTGAAATAAAACAAGAACTCAGGTGTTTCCTGCCTATCCTATTCTCAAGGGACTAGAACAGTCACTTTATCGGTACTGATAACTGCCTTAGAATTTTCTGCCTAGAGAGGTATTACTTTTTTAAAAAAATTTGAAATAAAAAATTAAGTTCTTATAAAAATGAGAAAATAGCATTCAAGGGACTTTATCCCTTAGCTCAGGCTACCTTGATCCCTGAAGCTACCTTGCGTCAGGTCCGACAAAGCCTGGTTCTTTAACTTTCTCTTCAAGTCTGTGACCTTCTCCATATCCTTCCAATGAATTCTTTTTTTGCTTAATTTAGCCATCCTCAGTGTCTGTGGTTTGCAACCAAAACCCCCTACTTGACATATTTTACAAATATTTCAATCATGTTTAAGATTTACAGCAACTCTACAGGTGAAGTGAGAAGTGATTCTCAGAAGCTAAAATAATTTCTTCTTGGTTGTATAAGTTATTAGTGGCGGAACTGAAATTCAAATTTGGATTTGTAAAGATTTATGTCTTTCCTCTCTATCATGTTACTACAAAACCTTCAAAGTCCTTTCTTGAGGACAACACGTTGCTTGACTATAAGAGATATCAACCAAAGACATCCCTGCAGCTCCGTTCACTATAACCATCCACCCTTTCATTCACTTAACAAATATCTAAATACATTAAATGGGCAAGATGCAGCACTAAGGATGGGGAATACAAAGCTGGTTCAGCCAGTCACTTCCATCGGGTTGCTCACATTCCTCTGAGATGTTGATTCTTCAGTTTATAGACTTAAACAATATTGGAATCAGTTAAATTTAAACAATATGGAAAAACAATATAATATACAGCCATATGGTTCAGACAGGATACGAATAATTCAGCGTATTAAATTAGAAATAGTTTCCACTCGATTTAAGCCTTCAGTAGGTAATTCTTCACTGCAACGACTTCTAGAGACACACAGTCGGAGAGAAAATCGTTTTAATTACAGTCTTTAAAATAAAGAAAAGAATGATGAAGTAATCTAGTTTCCCAAATCCCAATCATTTGTATGCCACCCTCAAGATTTCTGCCTGTATCTGTGTACCAACTAATACTTTCTTTAAAACAACTTCTATTTATTGCTTTAAAATATTTTAAAGGGACTTCCCTGGCGGTCCAGTGGTTGGGACTTCGCCTTCCAATGCAGGGGGGCAGGTTCGATCCCTGGTCAGGGAGCTAAAATCCCACATGCCTTGCAGCCGAAAAACCAAAATGTAGAGCAGAAGCGGTGGTGCAACAGATTTGACAAAACTTTAAAAATGGTCCACATCAAAAAAAAAATCTTTAAAATATTTTAAAGAAAACTTTATATTGCTACTTTCAATGAAAAACTGGTAGGTAATCCATAAGTAGAATGTAACTATGAAAATAAATACAGTGAAATAAAGATAATAAATTTCATCTAGAGAGTATTGCAGTGGGAAGCTCTGAGCCTGAAGCTTGATCAACAACTCTTTGTTGTAAAGGAAAATTAGCAACTGTTCGGCAGGTGTTAAAGACCTACTATTTCCAAACTATTTTTTCTCCTGAAAATAATCAGAGGGATGGAAAGAGAACCTGAATGGAAGGAATTTTCTTACTCTGTGATTCAGTGTTATTTAATACTGTGTTTTTGTCCCACAAACAGCCTCTCACAGACCGCAGTGTCATGTGTTTCAGGCACTTGAGAGCACACAGTGAGTCAGGGAAATAGGAATGCTTTATGTGTGGAGGGAACTGTGGGAAGCAGCTTCCAAGTCTGCATCTGACATTCATTCATTCATTCACTTATCAACTCTTATGCATTAAGCACCTGCCATGTGTCATTCATTGTGCTAAGAGCTGGGGAGTCACTTGTGAATGACCTCACTTCAAGGAGAAGGTAAATTAGGTAAAAATGAAGAAGGTAATTACATAAGCAAACTGTATCATATAATAGAGGACCCAATAGATGCTAAGGGCTAGACTCATAGGGAGAGAGGTCATTCTCAAGTCTCAAGAGGCCACCCATTCTTCTGGGAATTCCAGAAGTCTCATTGTCCATTATAGGCTGTCAATGATTTCTCATTTCCTTTAGCGAGCACCAGCTGAAAAATAGTTATCATATAAGGAATGGAAACCGGAAAGTACTTAAAGAACAGGACACAAGACCAAAGTGTGCTATGATGTGGAAAGAATAAAGTGAGCATCAGAAAGACCATGAGAGGTTAGTCTAATCATTTCTTTCTGTAGTAAATAGAGGGCTATGATTTCCTAGGCTAAACTGAGATTTAAACTGGACCTCCTGAAGTCCAGCCCAATAAACTTTGTACTATATGACATATATAAGAAAGGATCTTGAGAGTTAAAGACATTTACGTTTGTTCCAAAAAGATAACCTGGAGCATTCCCAGTTATTAAAAGCACAAAAAAATAGTAAAAGAAATGGAGATGCTTGTGTAATGGAGAGTATAATGATCACATTTCAAGAAAGGGTGAAGGGGTGGCATTTAAAGACAAACATAACACATATTATGGCATCTAAGAGAAACTGTTTTATGAGCCATGTCAAGATACATTTATTGAGAAATACGGTCAAATTAGCATGAAAATATGAATGGCTTACGGTGACTATTGAAAACAGCTTTAAAGCTGATCAGCGTAAAAGGTTTCTCTATAGAACTAGAGTGTTATCCTGCAGGAGAGATTTATACGTTAACTCCTATGCTCTTTGGCACCACTACGCTGAGAAAACTTGGAAAGAGGAGGCAAGGAAAAGCCCTGGAATCATTTCCAGCTATTCCCAGCCTTTCTGGATAGGTAATTTATTTTATTGTCTCTTTCTTGCTAGTACTTATCATATACTTTTTAGAAGTAGGTGATTTTGAAACTGAAGTATAAGGGAATTTACAGTGTTCTCCAATTTATACGGCTGATAATCACTGGAGCCTACTGGTGAAGAAGGGAAACCAAGAATACTAGTTTTTGGAAATTCATCCAAAGAATATCAGTGGGATTACCCTGGGGCATGGAACTCGGGAATGGAGGACAATAGCTTTTGTTTGCTAAGCATATTGCTGAATTCTACTATACAGGATCCTTTGGTAGCTCTGGACTTGGATTATTATTGCAGCTGTATTGTCTTGTATTTCTTCCTGTTCTTAGCTAGTAAATACTGCTTCACATTCATTCTAAATTTATTTTTTATTCAGAATTAACCTTGCCATAACCAATGGCACATTCATTAAAGCATGTTGTTCAAATTCAATTGTATTAAAGACTTTCCTAGAGAATCCTAAAGATAGTGTCTTGAAAATAAAAAATATATATCATCTTCCTATCTAAATTTCTGAAATTTAACCATTTAAGTGGCTGACTGAGCTTGCAATTACATGCTAAGCCAAACGCTTTGATCCTCCCATGGGAACGAAAACTAATAAAACATAATATACCTGTGAAGCTTGAGAGTGACAGTTCCATAAACAGTAGCAAAACCGAGAAGACGGACCCATCTTAGGAGAATACAGCGAAATGTGCTTGGCTCAAAGTACAAAATAACAACCTGTAGGATGAGAAGAGAAAGAAAGAGACCTTCAGGATCAGCTGATGACCCACAGATTAAAATCAGTATTTCACAGTCTGATGTTTAATACTATGAATTTTGACATGAGAACATATTTATTTGAATAAAACTCTAAAATATTATTTTGATCATTCTTTGTCCAAAACAAAGAACTATAAAGTCTCCTTATTGCTTTCATGTCAGATCTAAAGTCTTTAATTCTAGCTTTCAGGAGTTTCTAGCAATTGCCTCTAAATTTTTGGTATGTCCAAGCTTCACTCTCCTTTACTTCCCCAGGTGGGCCAGCCAGGCGAGCTTCCACTGCCTTTCTCAGCTGGAGCCGTGCCTATCCCTGCTCCACACTTCCGGCCATACCTTTCCCCTGTCTGAAATATCCTAAGAGGATTACCCTGTACTGCACCCCATCCCCCCATCATCTATCACGCCATGTTTATTACCTCACTTAGTACTTGGCTCTATCACTTCACTAACTCCTCGCTTCTCACTCCAGAGTTTTCACTCAACAAATATTAATTAAGCATTTATCACGAGCCAGGCAATATACTAGATGCTATGGGTACAAAGGCCAATAAGAAAGGGAAGAGAGCCATATAAAGAAGAAATTGGAGGCTTCCCTGGTGGCGCAGTGGTTAAGAATCCACCTGCCAATGTAGGGGACACGGGTTCAAGTCCTGGTCCGGGAATAGCCCACGTGCCACAGAGCAACTAAGCCTGTGCACCACAGCAACTGAGCCTGCACTCTAGAGCCCGCGAGCCACAACCACTGAAGCCTGTGTGCTACAACTACTGAAGCCCGTGCACCTAGAACTCGTGGCTCCACAAGAGAAGCCACCGCAATAAGAAGCCCGCGCACTGCAACGAAGAGCAGCCCCCACTCACTGCAACTAGAGAAAGCCTGCACGCAGCAGCGAAGACCCAACGCAGCTAAAAATAAAATAAACAGATAAAAAATTTATATGTATATAAATAAGTAAAGAAAGAAGAAACTGCATCAAAGCAGTATAGGTGCTGTGATAAACATCTGTGCAGGCTCCATGGGACACAAAGGAACAAGTGGCCAACTCTGGGGGATGGTCAAAAGTCCTGTGAAAGCACGGTATGCACAACCTCTCATCTGCTACTGCGTGGCTTTGAGCAAAGCCCTCATTGAATAGGAAACGGTTTGGACCCGCTAAAGGATTAATGCCGTTGAAAAACGTGGCCTTGCACTCTTCTGCTGGAGCAGCTGGCCTGAGCTGATTCTGCTGAGCATAAGGTCATTGTAACAGAAAAGTATGCCCACTCCTAAAATCTCCAGTGTTATTTTGGTTTTTCCTCCCGAAGACGTGAATACTGGGAAACAGAAAGCATAGCGGGGGGGAGATGGGGCAGGTGCTGACATTTTCTTTCTTTTCTTTCTTTTTTTTTTTTTTTTTTTTTTTTTTTT